AAATTAGACCTTCAAGTTTGAAGGAAAAATATTTCAGCCTACTGAACATTGTCACACATGAAGATGCGAGGGGTGCATTCATGTCAGCTAGCCAGCTCCTAGAACAGGATGTTGTTGAAATCCTTATATATGAAGATGTTGCAAAGCTTGGACTTCTGTATTTCATTACATCCTATCTGTTCCCAAGAGATTACAAGAAGGTGGTTGTTCATTATTTGTTTGTGATTATTGAAGATTTTTCTGTGATGGACGCATTTCCTTGTGGGAAGCTCCTTTTTGAAACTACTTTGAATGATATGAGAGATGGTTTGAGTAAGAGGACAAGCTATTACAGGCTGAGAGGTCTATTAATACCCTTTCAAGTCTGGATATACGAGACTATTCCTATTTTTGCTGGAACTATTGTGACAAGGATGTTCCAAACCTATCCTTGAATCATGAACTGGATGGCATATGAGCACCCATCCACTACTAAACTCGAAGGATTTGAATGCTTCTCAAATCTTGAGGTAATTATTTCAAATTTTTGGAATTAATAGCGTATTAAGACGTTTGTTGTTATTAAGAATTTTTTTATTGTGTTGCAGATTGAAATTTGTAACCTGGACCCCTCAGAGATTGAGATGAAAATGCCGTATATGAATGGGGTTCAGTACATGAAACCAGTTCAACCAGATATTACACGCGATGTCCGGAGAAAGAAGAGAAGGATGGAAAAAACGTCGACATCGCTTCGCCTGATAACCGATGGTAGCACTGGTCACGCTATTGTAGATGAAGATGACGATGACTTTGATGATCCTTCATCGAGGTGGCATGATACATGCCCATGTAAGCTTTCCAGTAGAGGAGGGTCCATCAACTAAACCTCATCATGCGCAGGAACCTCATTCAGATGTCCCACTGGCGGATGACGTAAGTTGTTATTGAGGTTAATAACATGAAAATACTAATTTGAATCGGATTTCTATCATATGTCATATGTCATTTAAATTAACGGTAGTCACAGATATGTGTGCACAAGTTACATGTTCATGTACATTAGTTAAGGATGATTCATTTTCAAGTCATCATAATCAAGTCACATACGTTACTGGACACAAAACATTTTCACTTGCATTGTCAAAGTAATGTTTATCAACTATTGCATTACACAATTTCTATGTAATGGACTCATTGTACACACGTTGAAGGCGATCGAGGACTTGATGAAAGAACTGATGGTGCAAATATTTGAGCTTCTTTTAAAGAACGATGTCTTGAACGTTCAAATGGATGAGATGAGGTCACATTTATCATCTATACAGGGTGAACAAATACGAAAGATGAATGACATTGTCCAAATGCAGATTGGGATTAGAAGTGACATGATAGACATTAGGACAAACATGCAGTTCCTGTCCGAGTCTGTATCTGCGTTGATTTCTAGTACGATGGAAGAGATTTTGAAAAAACTCGGTGAAAGATCCAAAGATGATCAAGAAGGTCATGTGGTGGAAGTGTATGAGAAGCCTAATAAAGTAAGTTTGACTTAGTTATGTTGTCTTTTGAATGACACAGGGTTTCATTTTAAATTTCAACCTCCGTCGTTCGATTTGGGTCACATTGGATATACACAACCTGAGTTACATACTCCGATCTAATACAAAACAATTCAACAACAGGTTGACTTTGTCATAGCTGACGTTGTCCAAGACACAAAAAGGACAGATGCTCTCCATAATCCAGTGTCCAAGTGTCTATTCTTTTAATAATCCATGTAAGTCACAGATGTTAGTTGGTAATAGGTCACAAGTTCCATGCAGGTCACAGATTTTAATCTGTATTAGGTCATGAGTCACACATAGGTCACATGTATAGTAGTAGACCAATAAGCTGCTATATTTACAGTTCCAACAATATGCAGGTATCCCTGGTGTCTGAACCAAGTTTAGGATTACCAATTAAGAGGGTTTCCAGA